CATTGGTTTTATTGAACATTAAAGGGATGTTGTGAGTTATTAAAACTCCATCAGAATAGAGTTGAGTCTTTCAGTTTTATTTTAAGTGTCAATACAAACACTGAAACAGGTTTTTCTTCCTGTAATCATTCAACTTTTTATGACATCTTTCTAATGCATGTGATGTAGGACAGAATCCAGTCCTTCTGTGTAAAACTATATTTTACACTTTAACTCTTAGTTCCCTCTTAATGTTTGCCCGTTAAGCTGAAGTCACAACAAACACGCTGGAACTCTTGAAAGTCTCCACGTGGCATGTTTAACTCAGAGGACGGTGAATGTTATACTAATGCACATGCAGCGCATAATGAAACATGACTGAGAGACTGAACAAAGTGTTTACTGTGAACTTATGATCAAACTAATGTTCAGCTGCTGGAGGTTGTTACAGAGTGAGAGCTCTGCTTTTAAATTGATGATCTTTGTTGTCTGTCCGTCAGTCTGAGGAGCGCGCTCAGTTCGAGATCCTGAAGGCTCAGATGTTCGCCGAGAGAGCGGCAAAGAGAGAGCGACGCCCGAAGAGAGCGAGAGCGATGCCAGAGGACGAGATGCCAACTAAAGGTCAGATATACTACATCAGTACTGTAAAATACACCGATATACTTCATCAGTACGATAAAATACACAGATATACTACATCAGTACGGTAAAATATACAGATATACTACATCAGTACGGTAAAATATACAGATATACTACATCAGTACGGTAAAATACACAGATATACTACATCAGTACGGTAAAATACACAGATATACTACATCAGTACGGTAAAATACACAGATATACTACATCAGTACTGTAAAATATACAGATATACTACATCAGTACTGTAAAATACACAGATATACTACATCAGTACTGTAAAATACACTGATATACTTCATCAGTACTGTAAAATACACTGATATACTTCATCAGTACGATAAAATACACAGATATACTACATCAGTACTGTAAAATATACAGATATACTACATCAGTACTGTAAAATATACAGATATACTACATCAGTACGGTAAAATATACAGATATACTACATCAGTACGGTAAAATATACAGATATACTACATCAGTACGGTAAAACACAGATGTACTACATCAGTACTGTAAAATACAGATGTACTACATCAGTACTGTAAAATACAGATGTACTACATCAGTACTGTCAAATACAGATGTACTACATCAGTACTGTCAAATACAGATGTACTACATCAGTACTGTCAAATACAGATGTACTACATCAGTGTATTCAAATACAGATGTACTACATCAGTGTATTCAAATACACTGATGTACTACATCAGTGCGATTCAAATACACTGATGTACTACATCAGTGCGATTCAAATACACTGATGTACTACATCAGTACTATAATGTACACTGATATACTACATCAGTACTATAACGTACACTGATATACTACATCAGTACTGTCGGAGGTACTAAACTGAACTGTCTCTGCAGCAGTCAATCATAAAGCAGGAAAAGGAGGAAAGCAGTCTGTGTTTGACAAAGAGCTGACCAACACCAGCACCAAGGCTCTGAAGCACTACAGAGCTGGGTGAGTCTGTCTGTGCACCACCCGTCTGTCTGTCTGTGCACCCGTCTGTCTGTCTGTGCACCCGTCTGTCTGTCTGTGCACCTGTCTGTTATTACCATGGACTGTATATAAAAGGTGGACAGTCACCGTCACGTAACCTATTGGTTTGTGGACTGTTGTTTTGAAGCCATGAATTAGTCATTTTGGTCGTCGCCATCTTGGTTTTTGCCAACCAGAAGTGGGGTGAGAGGGTGGAGCCTAGTACAACAGAACCCTGAATAATGTTGCAATTAACTGTCATGACTCGATGATACCTGATCCAGCATTTTAGGCTTTGTCGGAGGCATTTCTGATGTCTGTATAGCTGTCTGTTTATATAACTGTACACCTGTCTCACCCATCTCTTTCTGCTTACAGACCGTCCTTCGAAGACAGGAAGCGTCTCGGTATAGACAGGAAGCGTCCCGGCGGCTCAGACAGGAAGCGTCCCGGCGGCTCAGACAGGAAGCGTCCCGGCGGCTCAGACAGGAAGCGTCCCGGCGGCTCAGACAGGAAGCGTCCCGGCGGCTCAGACAGGAAGCCTCCTGGCGGCTCCAGGCGAGTTTTACCTGCTCTCTCTTCATTTCTGTATAATAAGAACTGGATATGGGGTCACTGCTCAGCCTTGCTTTCAATTTTGCTCAGCAGATTACTTCCCGGTATTGCAGCAAAAAGCATTTTCCCCATAGAGCACTAGTAACTTTTTTAGGAAAATGGGCCTGGCAAGCAATTCTAATTGGACTGAAAAGGCGCCATTTTGGGGTTCTTATTATACATCTATGGTCCCACATCGATTGAAACAGATTAAAAACGGTGGACTCTCTGTTCTGTCCATCAGGTTCAAGAAGAAGAAGTGAAAGCCAAGATTGCCGCCTTGAGAAGCAGTTTTCTCCTCGTCGTCTCTTTGTGTTCACCGTGTAAATCTCTTCCAGTTGTTTTATTCATCTTATCAAGTTTTAAATAAAGTGTCGACCTCTATAAAAAACAAGTCTGTAGTTTATTCTAAAGGGTCCTAACAAACCATGCAGATGCCAGTATAATGTCAAAAAGATGTCATGAAATATTCAGTATATTATGTCATTGAAATGTTGAAAAAGCCTAGTATAGCATGTCGAAAACTTCATAGTATAGCATGTC